TGTGTGTGTGTGTGTGTGTGTGTGTGTGTGTGTGTGTTCTCCATGCAGGGAAAGCGTATCCTCCGGAGTTTTATTATGACACCTATAACCCGCTGTGGCAGAACCGTCCTCGTGTGTACGGATACAAGCTGCAGTGGACGCAGATGAACCCGAGTGCCGTGGACCGGATCATGGCGTACCGCCTCGGGATACGACAGGTGAGGAGTTTTCAAGATTGAGGGCTAATGAGTGTAAATTAAGGCTGAGCGATATGTAAAAAAAAAAAAAAAGTCTTATTGATGATCACCTTTAAAAATATTCCATTATCTGATTGTGTATATTTTAGAATAACAAGAGCATTAGACTTGGTTCCGTGTCTCGGTTCAATCAGTCCTTTTCAATTATTTTTTTCCAACTCCGACAATATACTTCTATCTTCATTTAAAAGTTATTTTATTTAATTTTGCATTCTTTAGTCACGTGCATTGCATTAATAGTTAATTGCATGTGAGTGAGTGTGTGTGTGTGTGTGTGTTTTATTTTAATTAAATGTATTTTTTGTAGTGCATTTATTTGTTTATTTATTTGGTTTTGTTTTTGTTTATTCATAATAATATTCATGCTCTTGTCTTCATCTTAGTTTGTTGGAAATAGCCATAGGTGCGCTATAGCATGTACCCATTGTTTATTATATCTTAATGTATTTTTTTAGTATATGTATTTTATTTATTTTCTAATGCATTTGTTTTTAAATAATTTATTTATTTATAATTTGTTTATTTATAATTTATTTGTTTTCTAAATATTTATTTTCTAAAGTAAACTTTGTGTTATGTTTATTTCTTTTCATTTCACATTTTCAATTGTTAGTTTTTTCCCCCTATGGTTTTAGTTTTAGTAAACTATAATAACTCTGACGGTCCAGTGATCTTTAGAAACATGAGAAATAAAGTGTCCCGTAAATGATTCTAGCTAAGCTGTTTACAGCAGGTCTCATAAGGTGTATCAGAAAACCTGCCGAAATCACACGCTGTAATTTGACTGAATTGGAGTTTAATGAATCCACTAAAATGCTCTCAGATCCCGTTCATTCTCAGTCCTGTCAGTGAGAGACTCGAGGGCCGCCGGTGAATACTGCAGCCATTACCAGTAACTAAACAATCCACCTGTGAGTTAACTAAAGCAGTTAGTGGCCACGAACCGCAGGATTCCTGTCGTCTGCTGTCACGCTTCCAGAACAAACTGACCAAACTTCTGTATTCTATCAAATTCTGTTAAAACTCTGATGTTTCTCACTGAATCTGAATCTGACGGCGGGTTTGTGGATGGGAATGCGTCTAAAACTAAAACCGCTGCAAATATAATAGACATTAACAGAAAAAAGTGAACTTTAAAATGTTTAATAAAATGCACCAGGGCTGCATTTATTTGATCAAAAATAACAACAGTAGAATTGTGAAATATTATTACAATTTAACAAATCTGTTTTCTATGTGAATATCTGTTAAACTGTAATTTATTGCTGTGATCAAAGCTGAATTTTCAGAGCAACCTCTGAGTTGCGTTGTGAAAGTTTTAACGCATAAATTAGTAGTTATTAACCCTATAAAGCTACCGTATCACATTTCTAACGTCTCTAAATGATCAAACTTCTCTCGATCACCTGCATGTCTTCTGTCTCTGATTTATAGTTTAGAGTGTTTTATCCAGTCAAAGCTCTTTTAGTGTAATTGTACAAACGTCCAGCTTCAGCTCGAGCTTCTCGTGTCAGATCTGGACTGGTTTTGATCAAGTAAAGGTCAGAATAACTGCAGTAATATCTCCAGATGAACACTTACTGCACTGAAGCAGCTCAGCTTTACTTGATTCTCCATCAATCATGTTTTAGAGTCTCAAATCTGATCCTCAGGATCTTTTGAGGAGCGTTTGTTTCCAGAAGCTTTACTTTCACTGTTCCTCAGCGGAGGAATGATCTTCACAAGCCTCCAGAACATCTCACATCTTCTGAGGAGCCTTTATTTCTTCAGCTCTCAATCACTGCATTATATGTTTGGAGCATTTCAGCCTCGTCTCACTGAGACAGATTACTGGAGATATAGAGCGAGCGACCACTGATATTTAGACCATTTTATGTCAGTGTGTGTGTGTCAGTGGTTTCTCTCTCGCTCCTCCAGACGGGGCAGCAGCGCTGGTGGGAGCAGGAGATTCCTGTGGAGGGAAACATCCAGAAAGGAGAGCTGATCACTCATAACCCCCTTGATTTATAAACTGTGCACACGATTTACTAATTCGTTCCCTTGATTTATAAACTGTGCACACGATTTACTAATTCGTTCCCTTGATTTATAAATTGTGCGCACGATTTACTAATTCGTTCCCTTGATTTATAAATTGTGCGCACGATTTACTAATTCGTTCCCTTGATTTATAAATTGTGCGCACGATTTACTAATTCGTTCCCTTGATTTATAAATTGTGCGCACGATTTACTAATTCGTTCCCTTGATTTATAAATTGTGCGCACGATTTACTAATTCGTTCCCTTGATTTATAAACTGTGCACACGATTTACTAATTCGTTCCCTTGATTTATAAACTGTGCACACGATTTACTAATTCGTTCCCTTGATTTATAAATTGTGTGCACGATTTATTAATTCGTTCCCTCGATTTGCTAATTCGTGCACAGGATTTATAAATAGAAAGAACTAATTCATGAATTGTGTGCACGAATTAGCAAATCGAAGGAACAAAACAGTAATCATGTGCACGATTTAGTACATTGAGGGAACAAATTATTAAATCATGACCACAATTTATTTATTTTTTCTTGCATGTCATGTGCGGGGCTCCATACAAAGAAACATTGAATCAAACACAATTTTGTTAAATGAATGTTAACATACTTTGATAATCTGTTTTTATTTTATTTTATTATACAACTTCAATAAATCAGTCAGTAAGATGTATTAATGTTTCTGAAAGAAGTATCTTCTGCTCAGCAAGGCTGCATTTATTTGATCAAAATACAGTAACAATTATGAAATATTATTTGGATTTATAATAGCTGTTTTCTATGTGAATATCTGTATAATATTTCTGTGATGTGCAGCTGTATTTTCAGCATCATTCCTCCAGTCTTCAGTGTCACATGATCTTCAGAAATCAGTATAATATGCTGATCTGCTGCTCGATCACATTTATGATTATTATCATCATTTTTTTTGTGGAAACCGTAATATGTTTTATTTTTCAGGATTCACAGATGAACAGAAAGTTCAAAAGAACAGCATTTAATTTAAATAGAAATCTTTTCTAACATTATAAATGTCTTTACTGTCACTTTTGATCAATTTAATGCGGCCTTGATCAATGAAAGTATTAATTTCTTTAAATAAACCAAGCTTTGGAACAGTAGTGTATGTCAGATAAAACCGATGTCTAATAATAGTTAAACTCATAAAAGTGCAGTGTTTGAAAGTATGAGTCGTTGGTTGTTAATAATTCAGCCGGACTCTCGCTGGTGAAGATCAAATAATCATAATCCATTAATAATCAAATAATCAATTTCTGTATTTGACTAAACTATTATGAAAGAATGATGATGGATGAATCACCGAGGTCATTAACAATCATTAAAAGCGATCAAGGGTCACGTTCAGTAAAGTTGAGTTCTAAAACTCTGATTCTAAAAATCCTGATTTAACCCTAGAAACGCATTCGTTTTGGACATGGAAGAGATGCATAAACATTTCTAAAAAAAAAAAAAAAAAAAGCATCGTTTTTAGTAAGGCAGCAAAACTGTGCAGATGCTTTAAGGCCATTAAAGTACACATAATACTTTTTTTCAGAATTTTTAGTTATTTTTTAAGAGATGTTACAGGTTTCATGTTCAGGTCATTTTGATCTGGGAATGTATGGAGCACCATTAGAGTCAAAAATACTGTTTGTAAAATTAACTATGGAGTTATAATAGTATCAAAAAACTTTTGTAAAAGATATTTAGTCTTTTCCCCATCTCTCTCACACTTTTGGACTGAATTTTGTTGATGAATATGTACATCTATTGATGAACCATTACAGTATGAAAAACTGATCACTTTTTAATCTGAAAGGGAAAGTTTATGCTTCACTTTTCAGAGTATTCAGAGTAATATGTATGTTGTTTTGAATCAAAATCAGAATCTGAAAGAGCTTTATCACCAAGTAGGTTTGCACATTCGAGGAATTTGTTCTGGTGACCGAAGCTTCCAGTACACAGAGACAACACACACACATACATGCATCTATATCCACATATATATCAAACGCTCACTGATGCTGCAGAAGGAAACGCGATGCATTAAGATGCATTAAATTTGAAGATCAAGGTAAATTGAACTTATTTTGTCTTCTGGGAAACATTTAAGTAGCTTCTGAAGAGCAGTACTAAATGAAAAAAAAAAAGATACTTAGGCAAGATAAGAAAAATGTGCACGTCTTCATTCTGTTCAGAAGTTTTCACCCCCGGCTCTTAATGCATCGTGTTTCCTTCTGCAGCATCAGCGAGCCCCTGAACCTTCTGTAATAGTTGCGTTTGAGTCCCTCAGTGTGAAAAGATGCTCTTCAGTGTCACATGATCTTCAGAAATCAGTATAATATGCTGATCTGCTGCTCGATCACATTTATGATTATTATCATCATTTTTTTTGTGGAAACCGTAAAAAGCAAAGAATTAGTGGGAGCTGAAGGATTTTTCTGAAGAACAGCAGGCAGTTTAACTGTTCAGGACAAACAAGGGACTCGTGAACAACTATCACTAAACTAAAAATCATCCAGGTAACAACACAGTATTAAAAATGAAGAGTATGTAAACTTTTGAACGGGGTCATTTGTATAAATTCAACTATTACTTTCTCTTGTGGACTATATCTAAACGTCTTTCATGTGATGAAATATCTTATTCGGCTCAGTACTAAATAAAAAAATAACATGCATTTTGTATGATACCTCTCATTTTGGTAAAATAATTAACATTTTGCAGATTCTGCAAAGTGTATGTAAACTTTTGACCTCAACTGTATATGTTCTTATACATTTCATGCAATGATATATTCAAATTAAAATTCTCATAAATATTGAAAAACTAAAAAATTATATACATATTTTGCATCAGTTTTTTTTATTTTTTTTGGTGTGGTCCATGAGTAATTTAAAATTGTTATGAATTTCTCAATTTTAATTAACAAACATTGGGTAAATGCAGTAATAACATGAAAACATAAAAAAAAAACTTTTCACATTTTCTGTCTCAGACAAGGACGTGCCGTTTCAATATGTTCTGATTCTCGACTGGTCGGACTGAATGATAGAGAGACAAAAGAGCCATCGATTCCCGGGAAGATCAGTTTTATTCTCAAACGCTGATTTTCACAGATTTTATAATGCAGTCGTGAGAGTAAACGCATATTTCTCAGCCGTTTATTATCAGGTGGATTGTTCACAAATGTTCAGATGAATGTAGTTCGATGGATTTAATCCTCTAATGCTCATCTTTGTCACTAAAAAGCTCATAAAAACACAAAAGCTTCCTCTCGTCTGCTAATCGGCCTTCATGACCGTTTGTGTCGACGCTGCATCTGAAAGCAGTAGCTCTCGATATGAAGTGATCGTCTGATCGTGATTCTGTGAAACTCCAGACAATTTCTGATTTATTGTTTAATCATTAAAAGATTACATTATTAAATGTAATAAAAAAATGACTATGACTAAATAAATGAATGCATAAATGAGATGAATAAATAAATTCATCTTACATTTATTATATATATCAAATAGTTAAAACAGTAAAAAGAAAAAAGTGCAAACTGTTTTCAGTTTGTTAAAATGAAAATTTTTATAAATAGTTATTAAACACATTTTAATTATCACATTCTCATGTTTGTATGTTTGTCGATTTATTTAGTAATGTGTGAGAAATCATTAAAATACTGAATATACTGTTTATAATATTCACAGTTTGTTAAAATAAAATAAAAATGTTTATAAATTGTTGTTAAATACCCTTTTAAATATCTGAAAAAAATGTTTTTCCTAAATTTAATTAGAGTATGTTTTACAGCAAAATATAATTTCAGTCTTTCTACTTCAAAATGACATTTCATTCGATGTGTTTCTTGCCGTTTCTTTGTAATTATTTGTGTCTTCTGTGAGAAGTATTAATATTAGGGTTAGGTTTGGTGTAACTTAATTCATTTTGCTTTTTAAAGAGTGATTTTTAGTGAATTCCAATGAATGCAGTTAGGGTCAATTTGGAAAATGGTCATGAAAATGTGAATTATAATAATGAGTAATTGTTATTGATCGAAGTGCAATGTGTTTATTGTTATTCAGCTGCTGATCTGATGAATGTTTTCATCTTTTCTCTTCACAGATCCCGTCAATCCTCATCTGAGTGAGTATTTATTCACTATTCTTTCCTTCCTTTGAGCTGATAAAGATGCTTTATTCTGAAGAGCATTATAATGACAGTCCTGAGCGTTACAATATGAGGATTTGTGTGAGAAACAAAGCCTAATGTGATGATGATGCTGCTGCAGCGCCGTCTACACTGATTAGATAAAAACACATTTACAGATTTTAGTTAAATTCCTAAATTTTTAGTTAAGGGTTATGGATAGGGATAAGTGCAAATAAAGTCATATAAGTATAAATATTTTATATAATGATTGTTATGATTAAATACATTAAATATATTTTTTTTTATTTTACATATAAAGAAATATTTAAATATGTTTAAAAATAGAATTATTTAATATATTTTAACCCATTAATTTTCATTTGTGTATTATTATTCTTATTCTTATTATTTTTATTAAATTAAATAGCAGTTCAGAAAATCTGGCTAAATTCCTATTTTTTATTTGTACAAAATAAAGTTGTAGAGATTTATATAATAATAACAACAATAATAGTAATAGAGATGATGATAATAATAATAATAATTAATATTATTATTATTATTTAAATGTTTGTAAAACATTTAAATATTTATATAAGAGTATATTATATTTATTATAATCATTATTATTATTATAGTTATTATCTGTTCACTTTCATTATATGAAAATATAATATAATATAAATATAATATAAATTTATTATTAGATGGTGACGGTGACGGTGACGGTGATGATGATGATGGTGACGGTGATGATGTGGTGATGATGGTGATGGTGATGTGATGATGGTGATGTGATGATGATGATGGTGATGATGATGATGATGGTGGTGGTGGTAATGATGATGATGGTGGTGGTGGTAATGATGATGGTGATGGTGATGGTGGTGATGATGTGGTGATGATGGTGACGGTGATGATGATGATGGTGACGGTGACGGTGACGGTGATGATGTGATGGTGATGTGATGATGGTGATGTGATGATGATGATGATGATGATGATGGTGGTGGTAATGATGATGGTGATGGTGGTGATGGTGATGATGATGATGATGATGATGATGGTGACAGTGACGGTGATGATGTGGTGATGATGGTGATGGTGACGGTGATGATGATGATGGTGACGGTGATGATGTGGTGATGATGGTGATGGTGATGTGATGATGGTGATGTGATGATGATGATGATGATGATGGTGGTGGTGATGATGATGATGGTGGTGGTGGTGATGATGATGGTGATGATGGTGATGGGGTGGGGTGATGATGATGATGGTGACGGTGACGGTGATGGTGACGATGATGATGATGGTGATGATGATGGTGATGGTGATGATGATCATGGGGATGGGGATGCGATGATGATGATGATGATGGTGGTGGTGGTGATGATGGTGATGATGATCATGGGGATGGGGATGCGATGATGATGATGATGATGGTGGTGGTGGTGATGATGGTGATGATGATCATGGGGATGGGGATGCGATGATGATGATGATGATGGTGGTGGTGGTGATGATGGTGATGATGATCATGGGGATGGGGATGCGATGATGATGATGATGATGGTGGTGGTGGTGATGATGGTGATGATGATCATGGTGATGGGGATGTGATGATGATGATGGTGATGGTGATGATGATCATGGTGATGGCGGTGATGGTGGTGATGATGATGGTGATGATGATGATGGTGGTGGTGATGATGATGGTGATGGTGGTGATGATGATGATGATGATGATGATGGTAGTGATGATGGTGATGATGATGGTGATGATGATGATGGTGGTGGTGATGATGATGGTGATGGTGGTGATGATGATGATGATGATGGTGATGGCGATGATGGTGATGGTGATGGTGATGATGATGATGGTGGTGGTGATGATGATGGTGATGATGATGGTGATGGTGGTGATGATGATGATGATGATGATGGTGATGGTGATGGCGATGATGGTGATGGTGATGGTGATGGTGATGATGATGATGGTGGTGGTGGTGATGATGATGGTGATGGTGGTAATGATGATGGTGATGGCGATGGTGATGATGGTGATGGTGGTGGTGATGATGATGGTGATGATGATGATGATGATGATGGTGGTGGTGATGATGATGGTGATGGTGGTAATGATGATGGTGATGGCGATGGTGATGATGGTGATGGTGGTGGTGATGATGATGGTGATGGTGGTGATGATGATGGTGATGGTGGTGATGATGATGGTGATGATGATGATGGTGGTGGTGGTGATGATGGTGATGGTGGTAATGATGATGGTGATGGCGATGGCGATGGTGATGGTGATGATGATGACGACGATGATGATGGTTTGATGTCTGGTTGAACTAACCCTGTCTCTGGTTGTTCTCAGGAGAGTTTCACTGCAGTTTTGAGGAGGATCCTGTCTGCATGTTCACTCAGGACAAGAAGGATGACTTCGACTGGACGAGACACAGCGCAGCCACACGAGACACTAAATACACGCCCAACACGGGGCCCAGTGGGGACCGCAGCGGCTCAAAACAGGGTACGAGCATCTGACCTGATCATTTTACCGCCAGAAGCTCGTCTTCACAGAAGACGTTAAGTTATCTAGAATTTTGTATTTTTTTACATATTAATTATTTATATAAATAATTTTAAGAATATTTATTTATATTTAATATGATAAACTATATAGTGGTAATATTGTAATAAATTAAAATTCTGGCTAAATTAGTTACACATAAATACTGTCTTACAGGTTTATATTAATAATCATTATTAATATTATATTAAATATATTTTACATATTAAATATTTCCATATTTTTTATAAATTAAAATATATATATATAATTTTTTATTACTTTAATTGTATTATCATCCATTCACTTCCATAAGAAAATAGCAGTTCAGAGAATTTAGTTTCTTATTTTCTTGTACGGAGTAAAGTCATACAGGTTATGAGACAGACAGACAGACAGACAGACAGACAGACAGATAGATAGATAGATAGATAGATTGATTTATTAGATTGATAGGTTTATTATTATTATCTATTCACTTTCATTATATGATAATAGCAGTTCAGAAATTCACATTTTCGAGTTGTACAAGTCATATGGGTTTATATAATAATAATATTTTTTTTTAATTATTATTGTTATTAAAAATAAATTATTCTAAATAATATAAATATCATTATTATTATTATTATTATTATTATTATTATTATTACTATTTATATTTAAATTTTTTGTATATTTTAAACAGATTTAAAATATAATCAATAATAAATGTGACCCTTATGACCACAAAACCTGAAATTGATATTTATGCATCATCTGAAAGCTGAATAAATAGCTTTCCATTGATGTGTGGTTTGTTAGGATCGGACAATATTTGGCCGAGATACAACTATTTGAAAATCTGGAATCTGAGGGTGCAAAAAAATCTAAATATTGAGAAAATCATCTTTAAAGTTGTTCAAATTAAGTTCTTAGCAATGCATATTACTAATCAAACATTAAGTTTTGATATATTTACGGTAGGAGATTTACTAAATATCTTCATGGAACATGATCTTTACTTAATATCCTAATGATTTTTGGCATAAAAGAGAAATGTATAATTGTGACCCATACAATGTATTGTTGGCTATTGCTACAAATATCCCCCAGCGACTTAACACTGCTTTTGTGCTGCAGGGTCACATATGTGTAGTTTATAAAAAAAATACATGAATTACAGCCGAAGCAGGGTTCCGAGTCTCTCCGGATGCGTCTGATTTCTAATCCTCCTGCTGATTTCTGAGCTCATCTTGAATTACATTCATAACTGCCGAGTTCCAGTTAGCGCTCAGAGTGATTTCATTCTGAGGAAATTCTGCATTTTAGATGAGGTTGTCTGTTCTCAAAGCGAGACAAGCCCTCGGCGGATGAAGCGATGAGCTGCTCGTTATTGACACAAGCGTTTGATGATGGGACTAGCGCCGCTCGTGTAAATAATACATGTGCTTTAATCAGCTGATGATTCCAGACTGTCCGGCGTTTCATTCTCCTCAAGAGTCCTACAGAGACTTTAATCACCGCTCGTCGCATTCAAGAGAGGAAACTCTGTGGTTTTGTCTGGAGGGGTTTTCACGACGATCTGAAGAACAGTCATCAATGCCAATCAATGCACCGCACATTACAATAGACACAAATGAGACGAATGGCATGAAATGGCACTTTTATACCTAGTAATAAACAATTCATTTACAGTATTAAATCATTTATGAATATGTCACAAATAAAAAAATTTCTTTGATTTCTTAGATTTTTTTCTTTGATTTTCTTTCCACGTTTTCCATTTGTTTTTGTAAACAGATGCATTACAATTGGGAAAAAATATAATAATGCATACAAATGAAGATCTTTTGTAATGTTCTTGTTATAATGTATTTTATGTATATTTGTTTGATGTTTTTAGTTTGTGTTTATATTGTCTGGTGAAGCCAAAGACAATTACATATATATACTGTACATATTTGTGTGTGTGTGTATGTATATATATATATATATAATAATCATAATTTATTTACAGTAATAATAATAATTTTATTAATTTATTTATTTATTATTTTTATTAATTATTATTACTTTATACTTTTTAATATATATATATAGTGTTTAATATATAAATTACGGCTATAATATATTTAAAATCATATTTATTTCTTTATTTTAATAATAATTATTGATTTTATTTCCATTATAAAATTATATTTCTAAAATTCTCAAATCTATTTTATTTATATTATGAAATGCAGTATATACTGTCTAGAATGTATATATAGTTTATGTAAAATATAGTTTAACATACATTACATATATAAATATGTAAAAAAAAATCTAATTGATAAATATTTTTATTTATTTGGAATTACAGTAATGATAATTTGGGGAAGAAAGTGCAGTTATATTGCTGCCGTTTTAGCCACCTAAGCGCATGTGTTACAGCAGTTTATATTACTGTGTTACAGCACGTGTCTCATGATTGTGTTTGTGTGATTATCAGGCTTCTACATGTACATTGAGACGTCCAGACCTCGAAAAGAGGGCGATACGGCTCGTCTCCTGAGCCCCACGTTCAGCGTGGCCCCTAAAAACCCCTACAGCATCAGCAGCCCGCCGGCGTACTGCTTCAGCTTCTACTACCACATGTACGGCAAACACATCGGTATGAGCTCTGACTCACTACAGCCATGTGTCACATTATCACTTCACCTGATAAGATCTGGCTCCTGCAGCCTGAACCTCAAACTCTTCAGAAATCCATTCCTGAGTTTATTGAACACGCTTTGACCCCTATAGCAGGGCATGTTGTCACATGATTGACATGAAAACTCAAAAATACTGCTGGAGTGAGAATTACAGCATGTGACAACTAACCCCACTCTGACTTATTTAGCTGATTCTGATGATGCTTCAGCTGTCAATAATACTCTCAGCAGCAATATTTAGTATTTATTAATGTTTTGAATTTTTGCTTTTTTAATTTGTTTTTATGTATTATTTATTGTATTTTTTTTCTTTTTTTTTTTTTGTTAATTCATAATTTTTTTATAATTATAAATATTATATTAAAATTTGTTTATATTTTTTTAATATATAATTCTATTTAGCTTTATTTATTAATTCAGTTTTAGTAATTTAGTTTTAGAAATTTAAACTTGTTATTTTACTAATGTTCATTTAAGTTTTTTTTATTTAACTAATATTTGTATTTTATTTTGTTTCAGCTTTATTTCTTTATTTCAGTAACAATATTCATAGTTTTCAATAGATTGATAGTTTATTTTATTAATTTTCATTTTAGTGTAAGTTTTAAGAGTTTTATTATGTTTATTGTCTTTTTTTTTTTGTTAATTCTATTTGGCTTTAATTTAGTTTATTTCAATTTGAGTAATTTAGTTTTAGTAAACATTTTCATCAGTTAGTTGCAACATTACAAATTATCATTGTTATTAAGTTATTTATCTTTTTTTCACTTTGATTTTAGTGTGAGTTTTAGTAATTTTGTGCTTTTGTCATTTTTTAAATATAATTTTATTTAGATTTCTTTTCTTTTTTTTCAGTTTTAGTAATTTAAACATATTTCATTTTACCTAGTTGCCAAAGCAACATTACTAATTTTCATTGAAGTTTAAGTATTTTTTTAATCTAATTTTTGTGTTTTATTTTGGCTTTATTTCAGTTAGTGACGTGACATGTGGCTAAGTATGGTATGGTACCATACTCGGAATTAGTGCTCTGCATTTATCCATCCAAAGTGCACACACACCGTGAACACACACAGTGGGCAGCCATTTATGCTGCAGCGCCCGGGAGCAGTTGGGGGTTCGGTGCCTTGCTCAAGGGCACCTCAGTCGTGGTATTGAAGGTGGGAGAGAGCGCTGTACATTCCCTCCCCCCACCTACAATCCCTGCCGGTACGAGACTCGAACCCACAACCTTTTGGGTTTTGAGTCCGACTCTCTAACGATTAGGCCACAACTTCCCAGTTACTAGAAACTAGTTTTAGTTAATAATGACAATACTGACTCTGAAATCTTTTTTAACACATTATACCATGTTTAAATTCACAGAGTTTTCCCACTTGCTCTTATGAAAGTTTTAAAGATTATTGATCGCTTTGAACCTGCACAGATAAAGACTGCTATATTTGTTGTGCATATGGTTGAATATACAGCTGTGAAAAAGACAAAAACAGAAAATGTGGTGAGCTGTGAATCGGTGTGCAGTAGATGTGGGCCTGACGTTACCTGCGCTTGGGTCACAGCTAATTAATGAGTCTCACATCAGTGTGCCTGTGGAGTTCTTTCTCTTTGCATTTGTTTACTGGATTAAATCCCAGAGCTCATGGCAAACACTCGTCATCACAGCGGTCACAGTGCTTTCATTAGCCGCGTTCCTCATGCCGATAGACCCAGTTACATCCAGAACCACCACAACACCTCATTCATCTCTAAACAAGACAGTTTATCCCTGCGGAGCGGCTGCTGGAATATAATGAGAGAGGAGTCGATTTAAGAGGATAAGAGGATATCGCTTACATTGTCTCAGGACCCGGTGCTGGGAGCTCCTTGTCGCCGCGTAACGCTAGCGACGGACGCGTCCCTCACCGGTTGGGGTGCGGTCATGAGTGGCCACCCTGCCTGTGGTCTGTGGAGTGGTCGCCATCTGACGTGGCTTATCAATTGTCTGGAGATGCTGGCCGTGTTTCGAGCACTAAAACAATTTCTCCCAGACCTAAGAGGTCACCATGTGTTGGTGCGCACCAACAACACAGCGGTGGTCTCTTACATCAACCACCAGGGAGGTCTGTGTTCGTGCCCCTTGTACAAGCTGGTGCACCAGATCCTTGTGTGGTCCCAGGGCAAACTTCTCTCGCTGAGAGCAGTTTACATTCCTGGGCATCTCAATTTGGGAGCAGACATCCTGTCGAGGCAGGGGCCGAGGCCTGGGGAATGGATGCTTCACCCCGAGGTGGTGAAGCAGATATGGAGTATTTTTGGCCAGGCTCAGGTGGACCTGTTTGCGACTCAGATGACTGTTTTTCTCTCTGACTCATCCAGCTCCACTGGGGCTGGATTCCATGGTACAGACTTGGCCGAGGCTTCGTCTGTACGCCTTTCCCCCAATCGGTCTGCTCCCAGGAGTTCTGGAGATAGTGCGCCGGGACGGGGTCCGTCTACTGCGAGTAGCTCCGTTCTGGCTGCCGTGTTTCGAGCACTAAAACAATTTCTCCCAGACCTAAGAGGTCACCATGTGTTGGTGCGCACCAACAACACAGCGGTGGTCTCTTACATCAACCACCAGGGAGGTCTGTGTTCGTGCCCCTTGTACAAGCTGGTGCACCAGATCCTTGTGTGGTCCCAGGGCAAACTCCTCTCTCTGAGAGCAGTTCACATTTCTGGGCATCTCAATATGGGAGCAGACATCCTGTCGAGGCAGGGGCCGAGGCCTGGGGAATGGATGCTTCACCCCGAGGTGGTGAAGCAGATATGGAGAATTTTTGGCCAGGCTCAGGTGGACCTGTTTGCGACTCAGATGACTGTTTTTCTCTCTGACTCATCCAGCTCCACTGGGGCTGGATTCCATGGTACAGACTTGGCCGAGGCTTCGTCTGTACGCCTTTCCCCCAATCGGTCTGCTCCCAGGAGTTCTGGAGATAGTGCGCCGGGACGGGGTCCGTCTACTGCGAGTAGCTCCGTTCTGGCTGGGCTGAGTATGGTTCTCGGACCTGATTTCCCTTCTCGACGGCTCTCCATGGGAGATCCCCGTCAGGAGGGACCTCCTCTCACAGGCGGAGGGCACGATCTTTCCCCCCCACCCGGAGCTGTGGAAGTTGTGGGTGTGGCCCCTGAGGGGGCACAGCTCATAGCTTCTGGTCTCTCAACCGAGGTTGTTGAGACCATCCTCCAATCCAAAGCTCCCTCCTCGAGGAAATTGTATGCCTTGAAGTGGAAACTTTTCACTTCTTGGTGCAGAGACCGCCAGCTCAACCCAGTTAACTGCCCAGTTGGTACAGTGCTGGAGTTCCTGCAGGCCCGTTTCTCTGCAGGGTTGACCCACTCCCCCCTGAAGGTCTACGTGGCGGCCATTGCGACCTACCACGTCCCTCTCGGTGGCCAGTCAGTGGGAAGACACCCCCTAGTTACACATTTCCTCCATGGTGCGCTGAGGCTGAGGCCTCCTGTACGATCTCGCGTCCCCACGTGGGACCTGGCCATGGTGCTGGAAGCTCTCTGTAAGCCTCTGTTCGAGCAATTGGAGAGATCTCTGATCGCCACCTTACTATAAAGACTACCTTTCTTCTGGCGATATCTTCTCTAAAGAGAGTTTTTTTTTGCAGGCCCTCTCAGTGGCCCCTTCCTATCTTGACTTTGCACCTGGTCTGGCCAAAGTGTTTCTGTACCCTCGAGTGGGGTATGTCCCTAAAGTCCCCTCATCTGCTCCACAGCCTATCATACTTCAGGCCTTCTGTCCTCCTCCCTTCCGGGAGCCCAACCAGCAGAAGCTTAATTGTATGTGTCCAGTGCGAGCGCTGGATGCATACATCCACAGAGCTGCCCTGTGGAGACGGGCGGACCAACTGCTTGTTTGCTACGGTCCCCCTAAGCTACAAAACAGACCCTCCGCCGGTGAATAGTGGATTCCATCTCCATGGCTTTACGAGCCCTCTGATCTCCCCTCGCCATTGGGGGTCAAGGCTCATTCTACTCTGAGTGTGGCGGCCTCCAAGGCCTTTTTAGGAGGTGTGTCGATGCAGGACATCTGCGATGCTGCGGGTTTATCCACGCCCATTACTTTCATCAGATTCTATGGTCTAGATATGCGAGCCACTCCTGGCTCTTCTGTTCTCTCACCCTAGCTGTGCTGGCTTCCACACTAGGTAGAGATTTGAAAGTCTGGCGCCGTGGGAGTTCTCGTTCCCAAAGCACTTCAACGCAGCTCGAGTTCCTGAAGAGGAACGTCTCCAGGTTACGCATGTAACCATGGTTCCCCGAAGGGTCGATGACGTCACCCGCCCGTGACGTCTCGCCCCCTTCCATTGGACGGATTACACATGTGATTCAGAGCATAGGCAAACAGAAGGCTTTCCCCAAGAGCTCCAACGCAGCGTCTTGTTCCCTCGAGGAACCATGGTTACATGCGTAACCTGGAGAGGTTTTGGTGTATGTAAGTGCTGCTGAAATGGAGGAAAAATCTTTTAAAGATATGGATTGGAATTGAAATCTACAGGCGCAAATAGATAAAGTGCAATGTGTTTTTTGGATGTTTTATTTCCACTAGTCAGATCATTGGTTCAAAATTCTTGTTTGATTTTGTTGTCATATTAGAGTTAAAGGTTTATCCAGAGGGGATTTTGGATTTCTCTCTTTATCACTTCATAAATCAGAAAATACTCTCAACAGACAGAAAACAAATACATTTTCACCTAAAATGTTGAATAAAAAAAAAAAAACAGGCGAATGTTATATGAACAAACCCCTCAGTAAAAATCTTCAGAATATAGACAGGAATAAAACTCTAAGTTTTGGTGTTTATAAGTGCTGCTGAAGTGGAGAAAAAACTTTTAAAATATGTGTTGGAATTGAAATTGAAATGTTTTCTTTCCACTAGCCTGAAAGAAGACAAATGGAAGCAAAATAGACCTTAAAACTGGCCAGTTCATGAAAAAATGTAGAGTCGAGTCTTGCCTTAAGATTTCCACACACCTTTCCCAAGTACCCAAAGCAAACATGACAGTTAATTAACCAACCTACAGCTTCGAGCAGGTAGAAACCAAGTACAGTCCTCTGCCAGCAGCATGTGTTTGTACCTGGATTGATTCGCAATTTGACTTGCCCTCTTCAGCTCTTCTGTCGGACTGCACTGAGGAGTTCAGTTGTTAAATGAATTGATTGTATTTTCCCGCAGGCACTCTGAATGCGTTTGTGAAGCAGAAAGGTCAGTCGACTTCAGATGCCGGTCCAGTCTGGTCTCTCAGCGGGAACCAAGGGGACCGATGGAGACAAGCCAAAATTAGCATCCATCCTACTGCCTCCTTCCAGGTGAGCGAACTGTATGGATAATATGGAGAAATTCACATTCATTGAGTATTTATAAAGCATTTATGAAAGGTTTGGGGTCAGTTTTAAAGGAAATTGTAACTTTTATTAATCAAGGACGCATTAAATTGATCAGAAGTGACAGTAAAGACATTTATAATGTAACAAAAGATTTCTATTTCAAATAAACGCTGTTCTTTTGAACTTTCTGTTCATCTGTGAATCCTGAAAAATAAAATGTATCAGTTTTCACCAACATAATGTGCAGCACAACTGTTTTCAACATTGATAATAATCAGAAATGTTCCTCGAGCAGCAAATCAGCATATTATACTGATTTCTGAAGATCATGTGATGCTGAAGACTGGAGTATTGATGCTGAAAATACAGCTGCGCATCACAGAAATATGTGACCCTGGAGCACAAAACCAGTCATAAGGGTCAATTTTTCAAAATTGAGGTTTATGCATCAGCTGAACGCTGAATAAATAAGCGTTCCATTGATGTATGGTTTGTTAGGATAGCACAATATTTGTCTGAGATACAACTATTTGAAAATCTGGAATCTGAGGATGCAAAAAATCTAAATATTGAGAAAATCATCTTTAAAGTTGTTCAAATGAAGTTCTTAGCAATGCATATTACTAATCAAAAATTAAGTTTTGATATATTGACGGTAGGAAACAAATAAAATATCTGCATGGAACATGATTTTTACTTTATATCCTAATGATTTTTGTCATAAAAGAGAAATGTATAATTGTGACCCATACAATGTATTGTTGGCTGTTGCTACAAATATCCCCCAGCGACTTAACACTGCTTCTGTGCTCCAGGCTCACACATATTACAGTTTAAAAGATATTCACATAGAACACAGATATTTGAAATTGTAATTTTAATCAAATAAATGCAGCCTTGGTGAGCAAAAGAGACTTCTTTTTTATAAAACAAAAAAAAATCTTGCTGTTATATTTATACTTTTTTGTAAACATAAATATATAATGTTTTAATGCAATTTTATGTCCTAAATGTTTTTATGAAGTCGCAAAGCATTGTATGAAACGGTAAGGCACTTGAGGTAATGCTGCATTTTGAAAATAGCCTAATAGCACAACCTTTTGTACCTTATGGAAGATGCTGTCGAGTCCAGAAGAGGCTCTTGAGACGAGCTTTATTTAGTTTGTTCTGTTTCCATCACACAGGTGATGTTCGAGGGCATCCGCGGCCCCGGGATCGAGGGGGACATCGCCATCGATGATGTCACGCTCGAGGAGGGGGAGTGTCCTGACCCTCCGTCCAATCGTATGTATCGAGCATGCATCTCCATGGTAACCAGGCCGTAATTACGTGTAGCACAATTTTGTCCGGGAGAGCTCTGTAATTACACGAGAACAAACAGCGAGAAAAGCAGAAATGAGGCCAGGTAATGGGCTGGAATTGACAAGAGCGATGTCGAGAGCTTCTGCTGGAAACATGAGAGCAAATGAAAAACCTTCCTTCTGGAGCCAAACTAGAGCTGTAATCATGAAGTGAAGTTATGTGTTAATCATTATTTATTAGGCATCAGGTTTTCCATTGTTATCCAAAGCTGCGTCACTGTAAGAGATGTCTCATATTGATCTGGTTGTGAGATCATGGATATCTAGAGCATGATCAAACCATGCAGTAATAATATGCACTGGAGGATGATTATGAATTGCAGAAATACAGTTCAGACATTTACCTGAACAACCGAATGTGAAAACATCACAGAGACGCTTTTGAGTGCTGTTTACGGAGTCAAGCAGGCGTTAACTCTTCCCCGCCAGCGTTTTTATTTTTTTAAGTTGCCATTCACCACATGCATTTTTTAAAATTTTCACAAAACTTTCATTGCCACCGCAATATTTTGTTGTATGAATATATGAACAGGGATGTTTTTCGGGTCTGGTTCTCTTGAGAGCACCTGGAGATTTGGTTTGGTGCTCACTCTGCACCCATTAAATATACCTATAAAAAATTTAATAATTAATAAAAGTAATAATAGAATTAATGCATTTTATTTATTTTGTAAAACGATGATTGTGCAATAACAGCTGTCAACCATGCCTGTATGCAAATTATATATATATATATTATAGCTTCATGCATTTTATTTATTTTTTTTTAATTAACACTTGAATGTTGGTAAGTTTCACAAAAAAGAAACCTTTTGAACAAAAAGATGAGAATCTCATTTTTGAAAATCTGGATTGTATTCAGATCAATCTTGAATAGAGATGATCACATCCAGATTACAAACATTTTATTATTTGTTATATGCATTATTATTTTGTTATTACATTGTTATTTTACAAATGCATCTGCTTACATACGCGATCACTTGTTTCTGCTTCTTCATCACCTGTGTTTTGATCCAGAGATGAAATACTCTTTCAGAAGATGTGTAATAGCGCCTCCTACCGCATAACAGTTAAAATACGGAAAGCCAGAAAATTCCGTCAATGGCAGGGACATTTTTAAAGGGACAGTTCACCCAAAAATGAAAACTCGGTCATCATATACTCCCCCTTATGTCATTCCAAACCTGTATGAGTTTCTAATTTCTGAGAATTTATTCTAATTTCTAATTATGTGTTTCCCACAGCGATCAGAGGAGCGGCTGCACACAGCGTCTCCAGTATATGGCCATTGAGCGTCACGCTGTTTTTTACCGTATTCATCGGTCTGAGGTGACGCTCCACGTGAGAAAAGACTCCAGACATGTCCCTCAATATCTAATCACCAAAGATTCATGCTTTCGGATCGCTGAGAAGGCACAACACCGGATCCACACGGAACGAAACGACCACAAACAGAATAACTAATGCTAAAAATAAATTCTCCAATGTCTGGAACCAACCGAGGGTTTGAACACTGACCTGAAAAGCACAACGGCTCGCAATCGGGATTTAACGGAAAGAGAAGCGAAACCGGTTTCGCGAATGAAGATTGAGTTTTACACACGATTCCCCTTCCCTTTTTTTTCCATCTTGAGATGTTGTTGTCTGGTGCTTTGGAGTACAATCAACAAAACATCTCATCTTCTTCTGGTTGACCGTCTCTTGATTTGTTCTGGGTTTGGTTTGGATCGGTGCTTTAAAGCGCAAATCGTTTCGCTTTATTCCCAGACTCCAGTAGCAGCCTGATTTCTCAACACTGTGCTCACGTTCCCAAGCGGAGAACCTTGCGGTGAAAAGACTTGGTTCGTCGTCGTTCCCAGCACCAGTTGAGTGACAGAGTTTCTGCCATTAAAAAAAGAAGTGCCTTCAGGTTAAAGAAACGATCCGTTAGCCTGGCCATCAACACCAAACGTCCATGTTTCTAACATCTGCGATGGGCTATTTTATACTCATTTCTATCGCCCCTCAACGCTCTCCATCCCGAACTGTCATGCCTCTGTCATTTATATACCGAACAATGTGCATTCTTAGAGAAAAAATACAAAATATTCATAATTATAATAATATTTTATTACTCTACCCAGAATGTGTCTCAGCTTTTACACACGAACTGTGAAAATCGTTGGCGTTATCTACCAGAGCGCTCGACCGACCGCTTTGTTGTAAAAAAAAAGAAACGTGTTATGAAAATGTTTTGACAAGAAGCTGTGTCTCGTTTCTTCTGATTTCCATTGAAATGTTCCGACTTTAACTGTCTTTATTTCTCGTCGTCTCCCTTGCATTGCTGAAAATATTAAAAACAGGCAGAAACACGCCGGTTTGGTAACTGTACAACTTGTATATGTAAAGAAGCTCTGATTTATATGAGATGTTTTATGTACGAGTCAAAGGAAGCACAACATTTAGGATTCAACCATTTATAAGCATCATATATGTGAGTGTCCACCTGCAAAGCCAACGTGAAAATAAAGTGTGACACTGGAAGCGTCGAAGCGGCTCGTTATCTAATTCAATCAATGCTACTTTACTTTCTACAGAAATGCATTGGCATTAAAATCAACTTTGCATGGGCTATTTTTGAATAGATTCACACATAATGGAAATATTGCTCATGCATATGGTTAAAAACAAAATATGAAAACGTCAAAAGCTGACTTGCGGTCAAAGATGTTCAGAAGTCGTTTATTTAAAGTAATAGTTCACACAAAAATGAAAATGTGCAGTGAATGGGTGCCGTCAGAACGAGATTCCAAACAGCTGATAAAAACATCACAATAATCCACAGCACTCCAGTCCATCAGTTAACATCTGGAGAAGACAGAAGCTGAAACAAATCCAGCATTAAGGCATTTTTAACTAAAACACATAGAGTCCATAATCCATAATAACTCTTCCTCCAGTGAAAAAGTGCATCTGCTGTTGTCTCTCGCATCAAAATCCAGACACATATGTGTTTAGAGCCGTTTAAACGCTGCTTGATCTGTGCAGATTTCTCTCCTGATTCACACCAGAACACTGACTCACTGGAGGAAGCGTTATTATGGATTATGGACTCTATGTGTTTTAGTTAAAAATGTCTTAATGCTGGATTTGTTTCAGCTTCTGTCTTCTCCAGATGTTAACTGATGGACTGGAGTGCTGTGGATTATTGTGATGTTTTTATCAACTGTTTGGACTCTCGTTCTGATGGCACCCATTCACTTGCAGTGAGACACTGATGCAATACAAACCTGACAAAGAAACAAACTCATCCTGATCTCGGATGGCCTGAGGATGAGCACATTTTCAGCACATGCTCGTTTTTGAGTGAAATACTGCTTTAAAAGTCAAGTGTGCTGTTGTTTAGGGTATTTCGATGTTTCTTTGTTAAATCCGTTAAGAACATTCACACACCATCATTTAGATGTGATGCAGCAGGTGTTTCCAGTGTAAGGCTTTTATTCACTTGAACCGTCACAGAAATGTATTGGTACCTCAGTAGGCTTTTCTTAATGGAGATGTTTAATATTCTGTATTGTCGCATTACGTTAGTGACAATCAGGTTAAGAACGCCAGTCATGAAGTCCAATGTACAATTTCCTTCAACTTGTGACCTCAGAGTGAATCAGCAGGAGGGTAAAGAACGAGCCGGTGAATAATGAAGCGTGATTAATCTCCTGGTTTTACCGGAGGACGTGACGTCACATATATGTGCTGGCATGATGTAAAAGATTCATTCACAGTACGATGACTGACGCTCGTTACAGGACTTCAGAATCATCCGTCTAATGAATCCCGAGTCAAATACACAGGTCAAATCAGCCGAACAAAGTGTGAGCTGAGTCACTGATCACGTCCACAATAAAACAAACCAATGCTAATGATGTTAATTAAGGGCTAAAGCGGTCTGAGCTGAACAAATACTACATGAGAAGTATTATTTGAAGTCATGGATGTAATGTGTTTTCTGTTTAGAGCTGGGCGATGTATTGAAAGCATTTGTGATGATTTGCTGGTGAAAATGAGCCAACATTGTGAATAGTGCGATGATTTTATAGCACTTTTGTTTGGTGTTCGCATTTGTGATTCATTCGAGTAAATCACTTCAAACTGTCCGATTCAATAATTCCTTCCGAAAAGTCATTCAAATGTTTTATTAAAAATACTATGTAGTGCACATAGTATTTAATGTACTGTAAATATTGCTGTTTATTATTCTGTATTGTTGGTGTGTATAAATGAAAATGATTCACATTTGTGTTCGTTTAGTGTGCAACTGTTGCAAACATGCTTTGATTGTTTGAATTAGATTTTTTACTCTGTTTTACTTTTGTATGTTTAAACATTTATATACTGATTATTGTCCGAAAAGTATTGGGATAATTGTATCGCCAGCTCGAACGCCATGATAAAATGTTGACAGGGTAACGTTTGGTTAAATTTAACCCTCCTATCGCATTCTTGCATTGGTGAAACGTGAGTCATAACTTAAAAAGATTTTTTGCATCTAAAGCCATATTGTATCTGATAAGCAACTTCTCATTAATGAGTGAATGTGCAAAAAAAACCAAACAAATCCAAGTTTAAAATGTTACAGTGTTTTACCCCTTTTAAATGTTTGAGAAAACTCAATAATTATTGGAAATTTCACATTTTACAAGAACTACAGCAAAACCAATGCGATGCGAAAAACAAGTTTTTTTTTTTTTAAACATTCATGAGAAATTGTATTTTAATATACCATTATATTAAATTTTTTAAATCATATAATATGAGAATTAAACCCATTGAAATGAATGGAGTTTAATTAAATTCCTTTGAACTTACAACTCATGCTGCTCGATAACAGACCAAATTCATATTCATTTTCTAACAAAACAACAGAAATATTACTCTGGAATGTTTTCAAACAAAATGCATATATTTTCGTTCTATAACCAGATGATCCTGAATCTGCAATGCAGCATAGTGAAATGTGGACTTCTTCTCTTTCAACCCCTCTTTTCTTTATCACATTTAGTCTGTTTGCTCTTTGAGCTCTTGCTTTTCATCCCTTTGGGCTGTAGTTCGTTAGATATCGTTTATTTGTGTCACTTACACCTTTAGTCTGTTTATAGTGACTCTGTTTCTGTATATTCAAAGTTACCAACAAAATGCAGTCCTAAAAGTGTGTGAGAGACACTGGAAAGAGGCTAAATGTATTTTACAGAAGTAATTAGAGACAAATCTAACTAATAGATGTAAAAAAAAAAAATAACAAAATGCCTGTATAAAATAATTCACTTCCGGGTCAAAAATGACCCGAGCGCATAACAATTTATTTTAAATGCTTATATGTCTTAAAAATTATTTTAAAAAATCTGGAAAAAATAAATGATATGTATTTTGATATTCTTCATCCATATGAGAAGTTTTTTTCTTTAATTGAAAACAATGGATTTTTAAAAAAATGTTACGTGCTGATTATTTTTTTTTTAACTGACCTGAATGTGGTAGGAGGGTTACGACAGTAATGACTGTTCCAGCGAACAACAGTGAGAGAAAACGCTGATCAGAGCATAAACGTGGATGTCCGACCGTCCAGAATGTCTCGTATACAGTATATATTCAGTTCATCATCCGCTGAAGCGTTGAGTGTTTTAGTGCTTCACACTGGAGCTGATCTGAAGGCCTCGTCATCTTCAGAAGGGCTTTATGGCTGCTTCACTCGCTCTCACAAACATTTACAGTATCTTAAACAAGCACGAGTGCATGAATGCAGATGAAGTGTGCTTTTCACGCTGACTGCAGGTCAATCGCTGGAGTTCAGTGTAAATGCTTTGGTCTGATGTGATGTCCTGTAACGACCGTTCAGTCATTATACTCGCTTAACATCCAATAATGCTTCCTTTCACTGTATTTCTTTGGATTTACCATCCATTTTTGTGTCATTCTTGCAACTAATGATGAAAAATAAAAATAAAGAAAGCTATTTTACATCTGTGTTGGTGAAACGCATGGCAGGAAATCCTTCTGCCCGTGTTCCTGGAGTATTTTTGCAGTCTAATAAGACACTATTTATTGATTTATGCAAGTTTTTGTTTAGTCACAAACAGTCTTGACTAGGCAAAGAAACAATATTGAACATTTCTGCATATAGTTAGTTTCCTTTTATAGTGGGGCATGTTGTCACAGTGGGAGCTGTTCATTGAGACTGATTCGAGTAGATTCATATCAAATGAAATGTTACCAATGTTATGCACAACGTTTAAATGTATTATAGGCTATTTGATGTCTTTAAGAATAGAGCAATTCATGAGAACAATTTTTTTTATATAGAAAGCATACAAAACTAATGAAACTGAAAATACTAAACTTTTTAATATAATCAAACTGGCTGTGTCATTTCAACTTAAATTACCGAAAAGAAAAATAGTTAAAAATATATTAAATATTGTAACTTTAACAAATTTTTTTATATTAATTTGATGAGTTAAAGTAATGGGAAAACATGTTACCATTTTCATTGAGATACTATAATAGTTTTTGTTATTTTTTAAATTATTATATTTTCTGGTTTTATATTTTCTTCTTTCATGTTATTTTTAGTTAAAGTTTTAGAAATGTTATTGCGTTTTTGTCATTTTTATTAGTTTTAGTTATTTTAGTACATCAAGTTAAACTAATTGAAAGTGAAAAATGTTGCTCTGGAAGCTAGCTGAAATAAAATAAGCTTCTTTACATCTTATTTCACGTAACTTTTATTTCAAATAACAAAATGTTTCATATTTATATGCCGTGAAATATTGAGAATTTGCCATTGCATATGTTGTTTAGATGATCCAGCCCACAAAATAATATTTTGAAAATGATGTTTGAAACGAGTATCCAGACGTACCGTTGGCATAAACCAGTATTTGTGAGTGTAGACCTTGTGTTCGGGTGAACTGACCCGGATCTGTGCTTCTGTGGGGTGTTGGAGTGCTTTCTGTGGTTCTCCAGACCGTCCCAGAGTCTCTCGGGCTTCTCTGTTGAAGGGTTTTAGTGACCCGGAGACATTATTTTTCTGCTGTCTGGATTGGGTTCACATCAACACCTGTGTTTCTCACACTGAATGCCGGCAGGGTGTTTGTGATTGATTTTCTGATCTTTCAGCTTCACACTATTGGAATATGATATTGTGACGTTATGAAACCTTGTTTGAATCATATGGTTGTGGAGTACCTCGACTGACTTTTCCATTAACAAGCTCATTTTCCCAGCAAGTAACAGAGCAGGCAAAACACTAATGCTTTGCTTTTATTGCACACATAATAATTAGACACATCACTCTCATATGTAGTTTTATTCAATTTAGCATTTTAGGGGTTTTTAGTTTTTAAATGGTGCAGGATTTACTTTGAAAAAATTACTTGAAAAAATTGCTCAAACATTGCTAGTAAATTTCGCAATTACAAATGACAAATAATTAAATCAACTTTGAAAAATCACTTGTTTACAGTGTATTTATTTGTCTTTAATGTAAATTATTCTTTTTTATTTCATACTGTCACGCTGGGAGCCTCGTGTTTTATGTCAGATAAACACTGCTCCGAACAAACAATAAATAATAAAATGTATTTAAAAAAATGATATGTGATGCAAAAAAAGAGCCTGCCCTTTAAATAGCTTTAAAATGAATTAATTTTTGTTAGTGACTTTCTTGGTACTCTTCGTTTACTACTTTTGATTTAGTTTAGTAAATAATAAGCTTGTT